GGGAGGGGGAAAAATCCCGGACCTTTTAACCTTGTTACCAATTCCTCCCAGACGGCTATTTAAAGACGCAAAAGCCGGACATGTCCGGTGAAATACGGACGGGTGGTAACCCTACACAGTCTTCCAGCCCTACATCACCCTTTCGTTCCAGCCAGGAACAGACCTGCTCAGACCCCGTAGCTCCTTTTATCTGAGCCTGTTATTCTCTGATTGGCTGCTTTCCTGCAGCCTTTCTAGACAGTGCTGGAGGACCCACCTTCACTGCTCCTTTGCTAGGGCAGGGTGTGGTAGGACTACAAGGCCTCCAGGAGGGGCCTCAAAGAGCCTGGTACTCCCCATCACAGAATGCAACATGGACTTGTATATCAATTTCAGGGACAGTAAAATAGTTGCTTAACACCCAAACAGTCCAAAGAAAATAAAATGTTTATTTCTAGATTAAGAACATCTATAAATATAATCATAATATTTATTAAAGTTCATGAAATCTGATTTAATTTAATACACAAGGCAAAAATCAATCATATTGAAAACCACAGCATTGCAATTATTGTTAAAAAACAGGAATAAAAAATTTAATGAACCCAGGAAAATCCATTGGAGAACAAGTCCTCATTTACAATGGTTGTCTAGCTGAGAAACAAAGGTGCCCAATCCTGCAAATACTTCTGCACACAAATTTTCTCAAGTGTTTGAAAGACTTGAGCCCAATTAACTAATTGTTAATTAGGAGACAGAGACTCAAAGGAGATACAATCATAAGAACATAAGAATGGCCATACTGGGTCAGAGCAATGGTCCATCTACCCCAGTATCCTGTCCTCTGACAGTGGCCAGTGCCAGATGCTTCAGAGGGAATGAACAGAACAGGGCAATTTATTGAGTGATCCATCCCCTGTCTACCAGCCCCAGCTTCTGGCAGTCGGAGGTTTAGGGATAGCCAGAGACTAGGGTTGCATTCCTGACCATCTTGGCTAATAGCCATTGATGGACCTATCCTCCAGGAACCTATCTAATTCTTTTCTGAATCCAGTTATACTTTTGGCCTTCACAACATCCCCTGGCAACGAGTTCCACAGGTTGACTGTGTTGTGTGAAGAAGTACTTATCTTTGTTTTAAACCTGGTGCCTATTCATTTCAATGGGTGATCTCTGGTTCTTTTGCTATGTGAAGGGGTAAATAACACTTCCCCATTCACTTTCTCCACACCAGACATAATTTAACAGTCCTCCTTCATATCCCACCCCTTGGTCATCCCTTTTCCAAAATGAACAGTCCCAGTATTTTTAATCTCTCCTCATAGGGAAGTTGTTCCATACCCTTAAATCATTTTTGTTGCCCTTCTCTGTACCTTTGCCAATTCTAATATATCTTTTTTGAGATGGGGTGACCAGAACTGCACGCAGTATTCAAGATATGGGTGTACCGGGTATTTATATAGTGGCATTATGATATTTTCTGTCTTTGATTATCTATCCCCTTCCTAATGGTTCCTAACATTGTTATCTTTTTTGATGGCTGCTGCACACTGAGCAGATGTTTTCAGAGAATTATCCATGATGATGCCAAGATCTTTCTTGAGTGGTAATAGCGAATTTAGAATCCATCATTTTGTATATATATTTGGGATTAATTTTTCCAATGTGCATTACTTTATAATAAAAATATTTGGAATACCAGGCAAATGTTTGTTAAGCCACTTTTAAAAACTTTAATATACAATGCATATTAATAGTTATATTTGGCTCTTATACAGCCCTTGCCATCTGTAGCTCTCAAAGTGCATTAGAAAGGCAGGTATGTAACCATATATGTAACCATCTGTAAAACCATATATGTAACCATCTGTAAAACCAGAGTTTTACAGATTGGAAAAATTCAAGGACACAGAAAGGACCAGTTATGATCATCTAGTCTGCTGGCCTGTTATGCAGGCAATCAAACTCACCCAGTAGTTGGTGCATCAAGCCCATAGCTTGTCTGAGCTATAGCATATCTTTTAGAAAGAAAACCAGGCTTGGATTAAAGACTTTAAGTGATGGAGGTTCCATCACACCCCTAAATAAGTTGTTCCAATAGTGAGCTACCCTCACCTCTTAAAAAATGGCGCCTTATTTTTAGTCTAAATTTGTCTACGTTCAGCTTCCAGCTACTAGATCTTGTCGTGCCGCCTTCTGCTAGATTAAAGAGGTGTTTACTGTCACAAATCTCTTCCCCACATATGTACTTGTAGACCATGATCAAGTCACTTAACTAGAGCTGATTGGAACATTTTGGACTAAATGAAATTTAAATGACATTTTGAGAGATTCATTCATTCTTTCTATCTATCGATCACACCTCTACAGCCTGGTGGTGAACCTGGATCTCCTCATCCCAGTGGCCTCAAGTCTCTTCCCTGCCTGACTCAGAGAGATCTGGGATGAAAATCTCTTCTGGCAATCAGAGCAGAGACTTGAATGGTGCGCTCCCCCATCCCAGGTCCTACCCACCAGGCTACAGAATGTGTCACACACCTTCTAGGATCAAAAAGCTCAGGTTTTACTGGAAAATGAACATTTTGACACAATTCTGTTTTCACAAAATCATTCCGAAAAGTTTTGGTTTTGTTCCAAAAAGTTGCCACAAAACAGAATTATCACCCTCCAGCCATCTCTAGTCATAACCTCCACTAGGATAAACTAACCTGGGTCAAGGTCAGTCAGCAGGTGAGTAACAGAGCTAGGAACACTACCACCACTGATTTGAAATAAGTAATTTCAATTAATTTTCTGCATCATTTAAGATAATTTTTAGTATCAGGAAAACATTTGAATAGGGGATTCTTTTGCTGATGTGGCTGCTTGGTTTCTTCTCTGTCATCACTTTGAGCTCAGCCCCTCCAGTTCCCCTTGAAACCTTTTCGACTGATTTCACTTCCTGTTTGAATTTCTCCTCCTCAAGCTTCAAGGCTTTGCAAGAGCTCTTACATTGTTCATCCTCTCTAGATCCTTAGGCTCTTCTCTTCCCTCTCTCCTCAAGGATCCTTTTATCTACTTCTCCCATTGTTAACTTTACACCTTTTTTCAAACAGGCCCCTATGCCTGAAGCAGCCTTCTGCCTTCCACACGCCAAAAACAACTTAATCTCCTCCTTCAAATCTTCCACTGCCCAAAAGTCATTGCTTTGGTGAGAACCTTCCTGTGCGTCCCCCACACAAGATCCCTTTGCGTTTCTAGGCCTGAATTGCCCAGCATATTATATTTGTCGGAGTTAGATTATAATTTGAGCCAAGGACCTTTTGTCCTTACACATTGTGTAAAGCAGTGCACATATAAGGCATTCTATGAAATAAAAGATGATGATGATGGATGTTCATAATCTGATGTGTATGGGATAACTCTTTGCATCTCACTAATGCATAAACTCTGATTTTATTCTGAAAAGTGACTAGGTAGAAATGACACCACCTTACTCAGTGGATCTGCTCTCTGTTAATGTTCAGAAACACAAGGGCTGGCTTTAGTGACAAAAATAAAAAGCTTTTCCTCCTGCTAGTCCTAGTAGCAGGGCATAGGGTCTGAGGTTGTATATCACTCAGTTCATTGTTAGTAGTAGATGTTTTACATTGTTCCAAAGCATGCCAAGCACTTCACAGGATGTACAGAAAGGGACATGACCAAACAAGTGACAGTAACAAAGCAGTAAAATAAAATTAATGGAGATATCCTATCTCCTAGAACTGGAAGGGACCTTGAAAGGTCATCAAGTTCAGCCCCCTGCCTTCACTAGCAGGACCAAGTACTGATTTTGCCCCAGACCCTAAGTGGCCCCCTCAAAAATTGAACTCACAACCCTGGGTTTAGCAGGCCAATGCTCAAACCACTGAGCTATCCTCCCCCTTGAGGGACAAAGCAATTCAATCACATGTGATGTAGCATATGTGCGTGCACAGCATGACCAATCAACAGGTATTATAACCATGTAGTACTCCTGGGGGAATTCTGCGCTACTGCGTGCACACACAATTAATAAGCCATGCATAATTTTATTTTTTTGTGGAGAAAAAAGCTTCTGCCTAAATGTTGCTGTAGTTCTGCCTTTTGCTCACCAGAGGGCGCTGTGATGCTAGAACACAGCAGCCGCTCCCAGCCAGCTAGGGAAGAGAAAAATCCTACCTTCTTCACAGTGCCTGTCAGGCTAGGTCAGAATACAGGGGCTATGGGGAGACAGACAGCATGGAGTGCTGGGGGGGGGGGGTCGGAAAGGGCCTCATAAGGGCTAGTGGGAAGGACAGACTGGGCTGAATGGGAGTGGAGGCACAGGGCCACAGAGGGGAGAAAGGTACAGGGCCACATGGTGATGGGGGAGGGTACTTGAGCTTCATAGGGACAGAGGGTGGCTGAGTGGGGACACAGACATATGGGGACAGGGGGAGGGGGTACAGGGACACATAGGGACAGGGGAGTGAATGGGTGGGGGCACAGACACATGGGGATGGGGTACAGAGCCACATAGGGATGGGGAGGGGTGCAGGGCCACCTGGGGATGGGGGGAGTGCATGTCTGAGTGGGAGTGGAGGGACACACATGGACGGGGGGGAGAGGTGCAAGGACACATCAGAGACAGGGGCAGATGTGCCCCGCCCAAAAAAAACCCCACTCCATACATTTCCCACCCAGACCCAACAACCCTCCAAGTTCACAGCCAGGCCCCTTCCCAGCAATTTACTTCCCTCTCCCTCAGCTCCTCCATTACCCCTGACTCTCCCAAGCCTTTGCTCTGCTTCTGAGGGGTGTGGGAAATACAGTTCTGTATTGTAGTTTAAATGAATTATTACTCAGAATTCTGTATTAATATGCCTAATAAGGAAACTATTTTTCAAAAAACATTTCCTGAATCTTTTTTGTTGGTCTGTATTGTTACAGACATACTTGCTGACTGGTATTTTGAAATAAATGACCAAAAATAATTGAAACTGGTGGGATTATATTGTGTTATTTTGACAAATAAAATATGCAGAATTTTGCAGAATTTTAAAATATTGTGCGCATAATTTTTTGGCACAGAATTCCCCCCCGGAGTAACGTAGATATAATTGTTTGCTCATTTCTTGAGGGCACAACTGAAGAAGTGAGTCTCAACTAGGGACTGGAAAGAGGGTTGTTGCTTGGTGGACCAATGAGATCATCTGGATTAACATTCTCAGAAGAATTAGGTAGCAAGTTGGGCAACTCATCTGGGATGCTGAGATAGCCTCTCCCCTGTGTTGTTTCTCTGCTCTGTACACCTGTAAAACACAAGAGAGGCTTTTGAAATCCATTGAAGTGTCTGAAAACTTTTTGAATCAACATGAAGGTTGACATATGAGCTACTCCATAGGGCAGAATGAGGAAGGGTAGATGGGTTCAGGATTGACACTGAGAAAACGAGAACCTTTCCGTCTGTAAAGTATTTAAACACATTGCATCTGTTTTTACCGGGGAGCTGAATGACTGGAATTATATTTTAAGATGAGGATGCAGTGACCTCTTATGGGTTCATATATTTTCTATTCTAAACCCTGAAAAAATAAAAATTAAAACAGCCTTAAAAGATGTTTAAAAGGACCCTGCCAAGTTGTTTAGACCCATAGTCAAGAGTTTTGCAGAGCCGAACATGAATAAAATTATTTTCAGTTAAAAAACGGAATAGAAGTATTAGGTATTCCCCCTACAGTGATGGGCACTCAACTCCAACAGGAACTTGCTGGTGCGCAAAAACCACAATGGACTAGAAGCAGAAAGTGAAATCAACAAAGCCACTCTCCCTGTCGAAGCTGAACAAAGCATAAAAAGAATACAATTGGTGGCAAGGTAATTAGATTTCAATAAGAAAACTGAGTTTACAGGGCTGTTAGTACAGAAATTTTAAAATATTTTTTACAATTATCTTATATTTACAGCATTCCTTGCAATAATGACAGGATTAAACATAAATCAACAGGGCTGGGGGGAGGTAAGTGATGTTTCCACCTTACTCTCTTGAGTCCAGCCTACACAGAGATTTGAGATCAGGCAGTAATCTTATATACAGTGGCCCTGATCCGCCAATCTGATCCACGCTGGCAGATCTCACACTTGTGCAGTATTCTATGGACATCAGTCCATGTGAATCAGACTGCAGGATCGGGGCCAGTCTGTGGTCACCAATATTCGCAGGAGTGTGAATCAAGGATGGAGTCATTTATCTACTGTAAATATACCAGGCATTCTAAGCTCAAAGCAGGGATGAAGGCCTCTCCAGCACTGCTTCTGCAACCATGAAAAAGGACGTGGCTGACATCAGCATGATGTGGAGAGATAGGGAGGAAGCATTAATTCTGAATATCCTTGACTTTGGCTATATTCACTCAGAACTGTAATGTTAAATTAACAGGTGTCTTGCTTTTTTTTAAAATGCTCGTGCAGAGCATTAGCCCCTTGTAAATGCATTCAAAGGACACACATACAGATTAGAATGGCAACAGAATCATAGAATATCAGGGTTGGAAGGGACCTCAGGAGGTCATCTAGTCCAACCCCCTGCTCAAAGCAGGACCAATCCCCAACTAAATCATCCCAGCCAGGGCTTTGTCAAGCCTGACCTTAAAAACCTCTAAGGAAGGAGATTCCACCACCTCCCTAGGTAACCCATTCCAGTGCTTCACTACCCTTCTAGTGAAAAAGTTTTTCCTAATATCCAACCTAAATCTCCCCACTGCAATCTGAGACCATTACTCCTTGTTCTGTCATCTGGTACCACTGAGAACAGTCTGGATCCATCCTCTTTGGAACCCCCTTCCAGGTAGTTGAAAGCAGTTATCAAATCCCCCCCATTCTTCTCTTCTGCAGACTAAACAATCCCAGTTCCCTCAGCCTCTCCTCATAGTCATGTGCTCCAGCCCCCTAATCATTTTTGTTGCCTTCCACTGGACTCTTTCCAATTTTTCCACATCCTTCTTGTAGTGTGGGGCCCAAAACTGGACACAGTACTCCAGATGAGGCCTCACCAATGCAGAATAGAGGGGAATGATCACGTCCCTCGATCTACTGGCAATGCCCCTACTTATACAGCCCAAAATGCCATTTGCCTTCTTGGCAGCAAGGGCACACTGTTGACTCATAGAATCAGTTTGATTGTATACCATTGTATGAGCCATCATATGTACCATGTATCAGAACAATAGGAAGATTTATGTACTTTATACAGCTACTCACCAAAACTAATACAAATACACGTCTCTGTGTGTATCAGATTAAAACAAACATTACCAGAGACCTGCAACCACCAAACAATATGGGGCGAGGGATGTGGGGAGTTAGAGGGGGAAAATCAACAGACTTACCATACCTTCATAGGCAGGCACCAGCATTATTCAATGTTGAATGCGACAAACCAAGCCAGCAAGCATAGCACAGCAAGTGGTGGGAAGCTCATTTTCATGGGCCCACTAGACAAATAAACACACATAGGGCAGAATGGGTGACTTTAAGAAGTTACGTTTGCAGCATTTCACAACTATCCTTAATTTTACTAAGGTCAGAAGATTCAAATTTGTTCAAATCCATTTTTAGGCACCTAAATGGGTGGCCTTTGATTTTCAGAAGTGCTGAGCACCCACAATTTCCAGTGAAGTCAACTGGAGCTGCACGTAATCAGCACTTCTGAAAACCAAAACAACTGATTTAGGTGCTTAAATTTTTACTTCTTATTATTATTATTTAAACACAGGGGTTAGAACATTTGAGGCTCAGGTTACATTTCTCCTGTGATCCATCAATGCAACACAGGCACATTCTGGATCATACTCCAGATACATACATCTTGCTGTTGTGATCACATTAAACTACACTAGCTCTGCACTTGTGGGAACTGCGGTAACACCAGAGCCCCTCAATGTGAGCAAAGACATGTAAGTCATTTACCTGTGTAACAGTTTCTCTTTGTATGCCCAACACAGGGTTACTGTATACAGCTTTATAAAAAGATGTTTGTTACAGTTATGCTACCTCTGATAGATAACAAGCCTGACAGAACATATTATATTGTTACATATATATGCCTCCATCCTGCCATCTTTCGTGCCCTTCCATAGAACGGAACTAGTGGTTTCAATCCAGTTGCCAGTGCGATACGGGCAAGGCTAGGAGCAGTCCATGCTATTAAATCATTACAGACATTGGTGTAAAATAATAGCGTAGGATAAAAACTACAGCAGACCAAACAGTCATTATAAAGAAAATAGAGACTGGACATCAGCGCAAAAGTATATTCTGAATTTCTTATTCCCCACTGACATTAGCTTTCCTGTTTTGTCACATATGAAGAGAAGGGGGACAGCGCGAAAGGGAAGAGCAGGAGGGGTTATGCCACCGTGACTACTTCTGCACTAAATACTGTACGTACCTGATGCCTTGCAAGCACCCACTCCTTACAGCCAAGCTGCACACTGTGTGTATAGTGGTTCCTCTGCTGAGGAGACAGCAGAGAGAGAGAGAGAGGAGTGTGGTTGATGTGCGAGGTCTGCTCATAGCTCTCCTCTTTCCTTAGGATGAGAGATTGTTTTCTTTCATCTGCTAATCTAGAAAAAAAAAAAAGAGAGAGATGCAAAATACATAGAGCAGCCAGTTAAGGATCTAGGGTGACATTCTCCCTCAGATTTGAGGGCCTGAATCTCATTTACAATAGAGCACTTTTACATCACTCTGGGAGTCAAAGCACCTTAAAACAGATGTATATATAAACTATGCCAGCATTAAGGCATATTACCTACATACCTTGCCAGAGCTGCATAGAGGGGCCATAGCGTAAATGAGAATCATGCCCTGAGAGTTTTCATCTACTAATAATTCAGAACTGTACTGAACCCTCTAGTTCAAAAAACTGCATGATGGTGAATAATGGAGATGGATTTCACAGACTAACGCATGGATGTTTACGCCTGATTTGGCCTTGTATGGCACATTAAACCAAGAGAGAGACATGCTAAGATTATGCATCCCTATCCCTTAAACGTTTAGGGCCTAATCTTTCAAGGTGCTGAGCACTCTTACCTCTTGTTGGAGTAGTCCTGTACTTGGGTGAAGACTTCAGGCAGGATTGTAGTCACTCAGCACCTTCTGGGAGTGGGGCCTTAATGAGATAATGTGAATGAAGCCACCACCAGTGTGGCTGTATGTGGAGGGGATCGTGTGGCAGGTGACTTGTTAAGCACACTGGTTAAAAATGGCGTTGAAGTTGAGAGCGGGCTAAGCAGGCACAGGAAAGCACTATGCATGAGCAGAAAGGCCTGGTGCAAGTTTCACAGCATGGGTCTGCCCATTACTTCAGTCCTGACACGCAATACTCCCTGTTTTCCCCCTTTAGAGGAGGCGGCCTGTTTGTGCAGCAGAGAATTTCACATTCTAAGATGAGACCAGCAAGTTCAGTTTGACTTGGGACACAACCACATCTCTAGAGGTGAAAGAGCTGGCGCACGAAGCCCTACATGTTCCAAAAGCAAGTAGTGATTCTGGGTGCTCAACTTGAGACACCTTAATGGAGCCTGATTTTGAGAGAGCAAGTCCTTGGCATTCTCTGAAAATCAGGGCCCTTTAAGAGGTCTCCAAGTTTGACACCCCAAAATCACAAGTCGAGAATTTAGGCCTAATTTGCTGCTCCAGTTTATCACGTGCAGCTCATCATGCATGGAACAGCAGCAAAGCTGGCTACGTGCTTTTCCTGTAGCTCTCTGAAATGAAGACGCTTCTGCATTTATTGAAAATTTATCAGATGGCGTTTCGGCCCAACTTTTGATCTGACAAGAGTGACTGCCAAAGTGAGTTCATTTTTCTTTTAGCTGTAGGTTGAACCTTCTCTAGAAGGAATCGTTCTCTGTTTGTTTTTAAGACTTTCTGCAGAAAGGGAAAAAATGGTGGCATTTATGCTCATTTTTGGACATCACTGTACATATCTATATATCTTTATTTATAGACATTTTTATAAGCCTATAACCATAGTGTCTGCACTTCTCACAAAAATTAATGGATTTATCCTCGCACCACCATGAAACTATTATCAGCCCATTTTTACAAATGGGGAAACTAAGGCACAGAAAAATTAAGAGAGTTGCCCAAGGTCGTACAGAAAATCTGTGGAACAGTTGGGAAGAGAACAGAGATCTCTTGAATCACAGCCTGATGCTTTCACCTCAGTACTCTGATGGATAAACACATTTTTTAAACCAACAGTTACTAACTTTTAGAGGGATCCAAATACAGATGGTGGGCTCCATTTCATGATTCAGAGGTTCAGGACGTTTAGAATTATATGCTCCCCATTCTAAAGAGGTATTACTAAAAGCAATAGAGCATAAAATAAATAAGATAGAGAGAAAACCCTAAACTAATTGACAATGATCATTTAGCTACTTCACTGAAATTTGGTCCCATTTTTTTAAATACCGCTAAGCATTTTTATCACAGTAACATGAGTAATAACACAAATGTTACTTACAAGAACCTTTGGAATGCTTAACTGTCAAATTAATGTCTTACTCTGATATTTGAAGCATTCTGAAAATTTGTTCACCTGATATATTTTTATATCTATGGTAACATCCCTATGCAATTAGACTAACCGAGAAATAAAAATAAATGAATTGTACTTCTTATATAATAAATTTGAACTACACAGCTATAGGAGCTAGTTGAAGGGTATTATATTCAGACCATATACTACATTTAAAATAGAATACCCCTTAATCTTCACTTTATAGAGATTCTGCCAGGGGAGATTTTCAGGAGAGATTTTAAAGGCCTAGATCCTGACTCAGCAAGGTAGGTTAAGATGTCAATAGTCACAATGTACCTTGCTGAGTTCGGGGCATACAAGGTATATTCAGAAGTTCACATTTATCTTTCAATTGTAACTATGCAGCTTTCAGATGACGTCATTCTGCTACATATTCTATTTCACAGTCAACCAGACTTTTCTCCTGCTCTTGAAAGTGCAGGAGAGAGGTCCCATAGCCTTTTTCAAACATATCTGTATTGGATATCACAATGGATATTTTAATGTACCACATACCAGGGAGAAAAGACAGGTGGGCACAGGAAATACTAAAATCCACCCTAAAGATACACACTCGTTGCACGCACACAGCACATTTTGGCTGAGGATCACCACACTCTTTACAAACAGTATAGCTTACAACCCCTCTCTTAGAGGTAATTATTATTATACCTGATTTACGGATGGAGAAACTGAAGCGCAAGGTGAAGTGACTTAGGCAAGGTCATGTGGCAAGCCAGTGGCAGAGCTGGGAATGGAATCCAGGAGTCGTGATTCCCAGTCCCTCGTTCTAACTGTTAGATTACCCGGTCTCATATTGAACCTACATTCAAGCAGTCCTAATGCAACAATGAAGTTCAGAGTTAAGACTGAAAATCTGCCCATAGCTCAATCTTGCTGTGCTGATATACAGCAGCTGTCTGTCTAAAGACCCTTGCCATATACAAGTTTAGACAAGAATGTGTTACAGATTAAGTCCCCGATTCTGCAATCGGATCTGTGCCATAGACTTGAATAGCAGATGTCATTGTCCATCCGTGCAGATCTGATTGTAGAATCGGGGCCTTCGTCTGTGCCTCACCTCCAAATTCCCATGCTTTTGTGGTTTCAATTAGATTAATAACCTAAAATTGGCAGACTTTCCTTTAGTTATCAACAGTATTGAAATGCTTTTGCAACTAGGGAAGAAAAAAAGCATATGATAGTTGACAGTTAAAAATAGTATATATGGTAAACATGTACTTGCAATACACGTTAAGTTTTTTTTTTTTAAACAGGCTTGGTAATTGTTTAAAAAATGGACTGTCATATAAATACCTAGTGACACAAATTTGCAAATAAATTTGCAAATAAATATCTGGAAAAAAATATGAACCACATTCATTATTTATATAATATGAATGGCTAGAAAATTATAACGTCTCTATATAAAATAGAGATCCATCTCACATATGCTGGATGAGAACATTTGACAAGTAGCATGTGCAGCATTTACACAACAGACCAATCACTCTTTGGGTGAGCAGAACAGCATTTTAGAGTCAATTTAACACTCCTAAAGGTGAAAGAATGACAGCAAAGGAAACTCCTATCCTCCTTTAGCCAAAGAGCCCCAGACATCGCAGGCCAGTGGTTTTCAACCTTTTGTTGTTGTTGTGTGGACCTCTAAAAAAATGTCAAATGAAGGTGTGGACCCCTTTGGAAATCTTAGACATAAGAGGTCCGCAGACTACAGATTGAAAACCACTGCCATAGGCAGACACTGTGCATGCCCCTCCCCCACTCCTTTGCTAATGTGACCTAACCCTGCCATAGAAGGACCATCTGTAGGGGTGCAAAGGTAGTTCCAGTCTCAATGGCCCATTGAACCAGGACCTGAGACTACCCATAAGAGTAGCACAAAGGCAGCCTGAGAATACCAGCTCATTTCATGTACCACAAGACACCAAATATTACATTAGTTTTCTATCAAAAGGATCTAGTTTCATATTGTGAATGAAGAGCTAATAAAATGTTATTTCTAACCCCCCACCAAGTTGTTCTTGAATTTTTCAAGCATTGTTGCTTTGTTTTTCAAACCAAGCTCTATTCCACCACTGGTAGTTGCAGACTAAGTAAATTATCTTGAATCAGAGTGGCAAACACTACTTAGCCTGGAATTACCAACTGAAATTGATTTTGCATATGGTACTTTATCAGTATTTCCTAAACTAAAAATTTGGATCACAGCTATGAGAAAAATATACTGGACAACATATGTCTGAGAATCAGTTACATGTTTAATAGACTCTCTCTCTTCACTCAGAACTGGGTGAAAAAAATAACAGTTGTAAATAATTGGAACCAAAAAACCTAAATATTTTTCACATTCCCCTTTAAAAGCCTTTAGTGAAACTGGAACAGGGAGGGTTGGGAACACTGTGTACTTGTCATTTATTTTACAAGATTCTGTATACTAATGGAATAACCACCAAATTCTCCATATTAATGCCAGTAATATGATTTGGAAGAGACAATTCATTGTGATAAAACTCCAAAAGGAATGCTATAGCTACTGACCCATATTTGAAGTACATTCCAGAACAGATTATAGGCTTTCAATTCACGTTGTTGTATGACTGTTGTGTGTATGAGATTATTAAAAGCTGATTCATACCTACTACCCAATAGTTTCAGAAGTCAGGCTTTTTCTCGCTTCCACAGAGTGGGACAAAAATTATTGAGTCATAACATAGTACACCATGGTTAAGAGAGACTACAAAAAATACCGATTTCATAAAGTTAATCAAAACCTCTATTAGAATCCCAGGATAGATTCATCCCAAAGTATCTCTTCTTCTGTTTTTCCATCAGGCTGTGGTTTCCTTTTATCCTTTTTGTGCTTTCTACTCTCCTTCTCAGTGGGTATTTCTTTAATTCTTTTGTCTTTACTGTGCTTTGATTTTTTCTCGTGAGTTGAATCTGTATCAATCTTTCTTCGCTTTTGCATTTCACTGTCCTTTCCAGAATCTGTGTCTTCACTGTTTTCCTTTTTCTTCTGCTTTGTGGCTTCTTTGTTGTGTTTCTCTTCTCCTTCCCCAGTGTGTCTTTCCCCCTCTTCATGTTTCCTTCGAAGCTTTCGGCCTTTCCTATAGGAGTGGGTGCTATTATCAGAAGAGATGTGTTTGTAGCAGTCACTGGATTCTGCAGATGATAGGCCATAGCTGTCATCTTTGAAAGGGGTCACCTGAGATGTTTGCGTTTCTGAATAATATTCCTTGCTGTCATGACCTTTAGCCATGTTTTCTAGTCTTAGCCTATTCTCATGAGCTGGTGACCAGCACAGCGATCTGTTTTCAACAGCATGTGATGATATATATGTTTCTGAGAAGAGGATGGAATGCTGTCCTTGTTCAAATGTAACATCGGAAGATACAATATCATCACAATCATTTACTGCTTCTAACTCGTAGTTTTCAAACTCTTCCTCCTCTGCTTTTCTGAAATATGTTTTTGGTTCTAGTCCTCTAGCTTTTTGCACTTTAATGTAATCTTCTAATTCATCTTGAAAGGAGTCATATGTTTTCTTTGAATTCTTTATGAGGTTGACAACCATGGTTTCTCTGCAAGAATCAGATATAAAATCTTAGTTACTAAAACTAATCTACTTTTTGGCCTGTTTCCTTTTTGAACTATTGTAGAATGTCAGGTAAAGACTTTTTTGTCTTCCTGGTTCAGATGTGGAATGTTAAATAGTACACCTCTGACCCGATGTAACGCGACCAGATATAACACAAATTCGGATATAACGCGGTAAAGCAGCGCTCCAGGGGGGCGGGGCTGCTCACTACGTGGATCAAAGCAAGTTCGATATAACGCGGTTTCACCTATAACGCGGTAAGATTTTTTGGCTCCCGAGGACAGTGTTATATCGGGGTAGAGGTGTACATTTATACCTAAGCAATTAACTAAGAGGAGAAGATGCCTTGAAAAGCACTACATAAGTGCTAAGTATTATTATTAAGACCAGCAGTTTTGTCTTGTTTTTTTTAAAAGATGTGACTGGGGGAATGACTAGATAGGAAAGGAAAGGGAAAAAAGGTGGGGGGGGTGGAGGGGAAGAAAAAAAAAGATCCTCTGTCTTCCCACCTTTCTGTGGTACAGAACCCAGATAGTAAAGGATTATACCATATGTGAACGTAGAGAGAGATTATAGCCACAAACTGTTAAACTAGCTGGACGCAGAGATTTAAAGACGCTCTCTATCTAGATTGTAAATAACTAGTTTTACTATATTATGTATATCGGTTGTTTAATATTAACAGGGTCTGTTCCCAACAGGTGTTGGGTGTGCAGCAACTTTCATGATGGTCAATGGGAGTTGTGGGCTCTCCACATTTTGGGGGATCAGGTCCTAAATTGCCATGGCAATGGTAACCTTACATTACAGACCATTCCCTCCAAGGGTGATTGAACACAGAAGGCTCCATACTGAAGTATGTGGTGCTGCCTCCATGTGGCAAAATTAGTAAGGAAAAACTGCGCAGGCCTTTTCCACTGGCAAGGAACATCTAAAAGTGTGTGTGTGTGAGCGAGCGAGCGTGCTCGCTCCGTGAGCTGATCTGGGGAGCGGAGAAGGGAGGGAGATGATGTTATCACTCAATGGTAGATACATTTTTGATCTGAGTATGATTTTTAAATTGTTGGCATCTATTTAAGTCAGTAGAATAAATGTGCAACGTCAAAGCCAATTAACAGAGCAGCCATCAGAGGATACTGCACAAGATGTGCACCCCTTCTACTCTTTAACAGGAACTTTAAAAAACAGTGCAGTGGTGCAGCCAGAGATATATAGTTGGAACATAAAAACCAGCCATACTGGGTCAGACTAAAGGTCCATCTAGCCCAGTATCCTGTCTTCCAACAATGGCCAATTCAAGGTGCCCCAGTGACAAAAGACTTACTTAATCTGATGTTTATTTCCTTGCATGTGGGACTGGTACATTTCTATAGACGTAAGAGTGATGTTACATATAGGACATATGTAGTTACCAACTCCAACTGCTGAAAGAACAGAGAGCTGCACGTTAAAGAGATTGCAAACAAACAGCAAAACGCAAAGCACATTTTGTCTACTCCCTTATGCAACTGCTATTTTATAGAGACAGCATCCTCCTAAAATCTTTTACAGACAGATGTAAAGTTTCTGTAGTGAACAGATTTTGTTTTGTTATAGTGAAATGAGAACTTGGGTCTGTGATAGTAAACCTTAAAGCATACAGTATATTATGGGCATGATCTAAATAACGAGATTATTATTTATGGACATTGATGATTATCTCTCTGTCTATGATATTTCTAGAGTGTCTATTACCTTGGTACCTAAGTGCTGACAAGAAGGATAGCTGTGCTGGAAATTGAAGTATTATTGTAAATACACGATGCGGATAAAAGTATAAGCATTTACAATATAAACTGGACCGTCCAGTCTAAATACAGTAGTATTAGCTCAGACAAGGGCATCTCCCGAGTAGAGAATGCTGGATGATGCCTAGAGAAATTTCAACATGGTACATAATGGATGTAACACATGTAGCCTCAAGTGAATACATGGTAAGGTCTGAGGAGGAAAGGCTTGTGCTTTACTAAGTTATGTCATTCCCCCCCCCCCTTAGAAGCTGAAGCATCAATATTTCCAAACACTGCAAAATCAGAAAATAAATGCCCCACCTTGAAAGCCAACAACCTTATCTATCAGGCAAATTCAGCAAACACACCCAATCCCAACAGGCTATTGTTTGGCATCAAAGTGTATTCCTCGAGTTTATTTATGATCAACAGCCTGATTCATCTAATGAGATCTGAAATATATAAATGGCAACATTTGAATAAGGAGTCAGATCCAGTTCTCGAGTTCTAGTATAGGAAGGGCTGGCAGTTCACTCACATAGGGCCAGATCCGGTTCCCATTAAAGTCAATGAGAGTTTTGCTGCCAAGTTCAATGAGAACTGGATTTGGACCTCAGTGCCATCAGGAAATATTTCCAAAGCAAGGTGTTCAGAGACCATAAAATCTAGCAGTGCACAGCGCAAAGAGAAAGGAGAAAACCAACTAAGTCTAAAGCAGAGGAATGCGCCCTCATTTTCTTGCACAAATCAGACACCATCAAACATCCAGCTACAATCAGTGAAGACCCTGGAATAATTCCCCATAGCTTACTTACCATTTGCACTGGATTCTGCAGGAACAGCTTCCTCTCCCATCTCCGCCATCATCTTCTTCCGGGCTTCGTTCCTTTTGTGCTTCTTGCCAACATAATGTTGATGGGCCATCAATGGATTATTGAAGGGAGCTGAGCAGAGCTTGCAATACTTGTCTGGATCATTTAAATCCAAAGCAATGCTAGAGGATGACGTGGACTCTTCAACATTAGGATCCTGGGAGGGCTTCTCAGCGGAGGGCTGCTGTGGTGCCAGAGATGTAGAAGGACCAGCGGGGGAACCTGTTAATAATACAACAAAGGAAAGTGTGGAACAGTTCTTTGGAACCATGTAAATATAAATATTGAACTACTGGAGTCGAAAAGGGAGAGCAGAATAGCAGCCCTGTGGCCTACAGACTATAGTGTTCAAGAGAGAACATACTCCTCAAGCTCTCTCCTCTCACAAAGGAGAATGGGCTCACCAAACACGTGAGCTTCTCTCACCACCAGGTCACCTTCTTCCAGCTCCTGCAGGTATCCTGAGCGGGTGGCATGAGAACACAAAAGATACTTTAGGTTTCAGCCCTAGGACTTGCACAAGGTGCTAGTCATCGTTGTGTGTTCTTGGATTGATTTTCTTAATAATCAGTAATACTAATTTAGCAATTAGTATTATGCCTGCTAAGGGCTGCAGTCAACCCCCACAATACCCCAAGAGTAGAAGTGTTGTTATTTGCATTTCACAGATGGAGAAATGGAGACATTTGCCTACAGTCACAGTCAGTGGAAGAGCAGGGATTGTAACTCCAGGGTCCCTGACTCCCAGTCCTTTGCTATGGACTTGCTGACTCTGATTAAGCAACAATGTCTTCATTCTTCCACTTGATGGCTGCATCTTGAGTTGTCATACCTACTGCCACACTTCAATACACTATATAAGCACAGAGAAGCAGTAGTGCTGGGAAGATGATCAATGCCTCATTTGATCTGTTTCAGAGAAGTGACAATAAAATACATGCACCATGTAGAACGCAGAGCCCAATTAGTTCTCACCTGTTTGTGGTTGAGTGCTCTGTGCAGGCACTTGAGGTTGGTCTCCTGATAATTGCTTCAGCTTTTTGGCATGTATTTTCCCCAGGTAATGAGACTGAGCAACAACTGGAGAAGTAAAAATCATGTTGCAAAGATTGCAATATTTGTTTTTGTCCACTACTCCACTCCCATCCACCTGAAACCAAAGACAAGCAGTTGAACCCTTGTAACTGAGAAGAGCTCATTTAACATCTTAGCCAGAGATCTGAAGAGGAAACGTTACCTGAAAGTTCACATAATCTGGTCTCTTCTGTTTGCCAGGTTCTTGTCCGTCATCTTGCTCACTGCGCATTTGAAAATAAAGGCGAACTTTCTGAGCATGCTTTTTGCCCTGGGAAGAGAAAAATTCCTCCTCCATTAACAAGAACCCATGTGCTGACTTACCCAGAAATTAAGATTTGCGTTGTCAAAATCTGAGAATCCCTCTGTTCATTCCCTTCCTTCATGGTCCACGGAGAGAACAGGAAGCTCTGCACTGCCCTCAGCATGCTCATAACACTTGCAGTTCTGCATTAAGACAATGTCTATAATCTAAATCTCATGTTTCAAGGCTTCAGCTGGTTACCTGAAGGGGTCAGGAAGGAATCCACCTCCCCCTCTTCCCTGTATCACAATTGGCCAGATGTATTCTGGGTTTTTTGTTTGTTTTTTGTTTTGCCTTCCTCTGAAGCATGAAGGATGGGCCATAGCTGGAGACAAGACACCGATGCTCTGAGGTGGTTCAGTTAATCCTCTCAGATGTTTGGTGGGTAGGTCTTGTTCACATGCTCAGGGTCAGATAATCCTAAAAAAATGTACTGGTCCATTACTAGATGGAAATGGTAGAATTATCAATAATGATGCAGAAAAGGCTGAAATGTCCAATAAATCTTATTTCCATATTTGGGAAAAAGCAGACGATATAGTCATATCATACGATAACGCTCGTTCCATTCCACTAGTATCTCAGGAGGATGTTAAACAGCAGCTTCTAAAGTCAGACATTTTTAAATGAGCAGGCTCAGATACCTTGCATCTAAAAATTTTAAAAGAGCTGGCTGAGGAGCTCACTGAACTGTTAGTGTTGATTTTCAATAATTCTTGGAACACTGAGGAAGAAGTTCCAGAAGAAAGCAAATATTGTGTCAATATTTATAAAGGGGAAATCGGATAACCTGGGTAATTACAGGCCGGTCAGTCTGACACTGATCCCTGGCAAGATAATGGAGCTGCTCATATGGGACTTGAATAATAAAGAATTACCAGAGGGTAATAATTAACGCCAACCAACATAGTGTTATGGAAAGTATATATTGCCAAACTAACTTGATAACTTTTTTAGATGAGATTACAAATTTGGCTGATAAAGATAATAATGTTGATAGACATTTACAACATTTTCATTAAAAAACTAGAATATAAAACTAACATGGCACTTATTAAATAGGTTAAAAGCTGGTTAACTGATAGGTCTCAACATGTAATTGTAAGTGGGGAATCATCATACAGTGGGTGTATTCTAGTGGGGTCCTGCAGGGATTGGTTCTCTGATTCATGCTATTTAATATTTTTGTCAATGATCTGGAAGAGAACATAAAATCACTGCTGATAAAATTTGCAGAGGACACAAAGATTGGGGGAGTGGTGAATAAAGAAGAGGACAGGTCACTGACAGAGCAATCTAGATTGCTTGGTAAACTGGATGCAAGAAAACGATATGCATTTTAATCTGACAAATGTAAATGTATATATCTAGGAACAAAGAATGTAGGCCATATTGGGGGACTATCTTGGGAAGCAGTGACTCTGAAAAAGACTTGGGGATCATGGTGGATAATCAGATGAATGTGAGCTCCCAGTGTGATGCTGTGGCCAAAGAGGCTGACATGATCCTTGGATGCATAAACAGTGGACCCTAAAGTAGGAGCAGAGACATTATTTTACCTCTGTATTTGGCACTGGTGCAATCACAGCTGAAATACTGTGTCTGCTGCTGGCGTTCACAATTCAAGAAGGATATTGATAAATTGTAGAGGGTTCAGAGAAGAGCCATTAGAATGATTAAAGGATTAGATAACATGCCTTACAGTGATAGACTCAAGGAGCTCATGATATTTAGCTTAACAGGGAGAAGTTTAAGGGGTGACTTGATCACTGTCTAGAAGCATCTACATGGGGAACAAATATTTGACAATTTGCTCTTCAATCCCAGCAGAGAAAAGTATAACATGATCCATTGGCTGGAAGTTGAAGCTAGACAAATTAAGACTGGAAATAAGGCATAATTTTTTAACAATGAGGGTAATTAACCATTGGAACAATTTATCAAGGGTTGTGGTGGATTATCCACCACTGGCAATTTTAAAATCAAGATCGGATGTTTTTCTAAACGATCTGCTCTAGGAATTATTTTAAGGAAGTTTTATGGGTGGTGTTATACAGAAGGTCAGACTAGATGACCATAGTGGTCCCTCCTTGGCCTTGGAATCTATGAATCTGTCTGGGGTTGGGAAGGATTTTTTCCCCGGGTATACTGGTAGGGACCTTTGGGGGTTTTCACCTTCTTCTGCAGCATGTGGCCTGGCTCTTTTGCTAGGATCTTCTGGGCATATCTCACCTAATCAATTGCATTGGTAATGTCACCTCAGTCTCCCCTGTTCTCTGCTTAGGGCACATAACTGTTTAGTCTCCTGAGGACTGAAATGCTTTGGTCTAACCCAAGTTATTGGGCTCAATATAGGGGTAACTAGGTGAAATTTAATGACCTGTGATACACAGGAGGTCAGACTAGATGATCTAATGGTCCTTTCTAGCCTTAAACTCTATGAAACTATGAAAAGCTGCTTTCATACTTACAGATTGTACTGATATAGCAAGAGAATCACAACTGGACAAAGACTGTTTGTATAATAATATTTATTAATCATAGAATCATAGCACTGGAAGGGACCTCGAGAGGTCATCTAGTCCAGTCCCCTGCACTCATGGAAGGACTAAGTATTATCTAGACCATCCCTGACAGATGTTTGTCTAACCTGCTCTTAAAAATCTCCAATGATGGAGATTCCACAACCTCCCTAGGCAATTTATTCCAGTGCTTAACCACTCTGACAGGAAGTTTTTCCTAATGACCAACCTAAACAGCTCCTGCTGCAATTTAAGCCCATTGCTTCTTGTCCTATCCTCAGAGGTTAAGAAGAACAATTTTTCTCCCTCCTCCTTGTAATAACCTTTTATGTACTTGAAAACTGTTATGTCCCCTCTCTGTCTTCTCTTCTCCAGCCTAAACAGAACCAATTTTTTCAATCTTCCCTCATAGGTCATGTTTTCTAGACCTTTAATCATTTTTGTTGCTCTTCTCTGGACTGTCTCCAATTTGTCCACATCTTTCCTGAAACGTGGCGCCCAGAAATGGACACAATACTCCAGTTGAGGCCTAATCAGCACGAAGTAGAGTGGAAGAATTACTTCTCGTGTCTTGCTTACAACACTCCTGCTAATACATCCCAGAATTATGTTTGCTGTTTTGCAACAGTGTTACACTGTTGACGCATATTTAGCTTACGGTCCACTATGATCCCCAGATCCCTTTCCACAGTACTCTTTCCTAGGCAGTCATTTCCTATTTTGTATGTGTGCAACTGATTGTTCCTTCCTAAGTGGAGTACTTTGCATTTGTCCTTATTGAATTTCATCCTATTTACTTCCGACCATTTCTCCAGTTTGTCCAGATCATTTTGAATTTTAATTCTATCCTCCTAATCACTTGCAACCCCTCCCAGCTTGGTATCGTCCGCAAACTTTATAAGTGTACTCTCCATGCCATTATCTAAATCATTGATGAAGATATTGAACAGAACCGGACCCAGAACTGATCCCTGTGGGACCCCACTCATTATGCCCTTCCAGCATGACTATGAACCACTGATAACTACTCTCTGGGAGCGGTTTTCCAACCAGTTTTGCACCCACCTTATAGTAGCTCCATCTAGATTGCATTTCCCTAGTTTGTTTATTAGAAGGTCACGTGAGACAGTATCCAAAGCATTACTAAAGTGAAGATATACCACATCTACTGCTTCCCTCATCCACAAGGCTTGTTACCCTGTCAAAGAAAGCTTCAGAGGAGAAATCCCAGGTTGCCCATACAATGCCACCAAAGAGAACGAGATGTTGCTACACACAAGTTCGATGCTGGCTAAAACACTGACTCAAAATACTATCAGTATGGAAAATAGCCTTTCCCCCTGTAATGGTGAAGTCATTAGGATATTATCTGCATCCTCAGCTGAGGTCAGATTCAACAAAGCATGTCTGCACTGCAAAAAACAAAACAACAGTGTGTTCTTAGCTCAGGTTAACTATCTGGGTTAAAATAGCAGTGAAGACACAGCAACTCTGTTTTTAACTCAGGTTAGCAGCTCGAGTTCAACCTCAAGCTCCCCTGAAGGCTTTAAGTTGAGTTGCTAACCCAAGTGAAAAGCTGACTTGCCATGTCTTCATTGCTATTTTAACCCAAGTTAACACACTTTTTTTTTTTTCAGTGAAGACATATCCAAAAAGTGAGAAACTCATGCTGAAGCCTGATCCCTATGAGGTGCTGAATGTCTTTGACTCCAACTGAAGTGAACAAGAGTTAAGGGAACTCGGCACCTTGCTGGAGCAAGTCCTCAGTTTCTACTGTAGATAACAATAATGAACTCCCAAGGCAGTAGACATTCTGAACTTCTTTAACTTGTGAAGATTGAGCGTGAAGAGATCATATTGCTTTGGCTGAAACTGGAAAAAATGCTCGTGCCTGGGAACCTCTGTACAGACACAGGATCCCATGTAAAGGCAAAGTACACTTTTTGACATATAAAGTATTCACCCAAGATATTTATTAGTTCCACGACTAAAAGCCTTCCGCATGACTTATAGTTCACTGTGTCCTATGTGATCTACTTAGAACATGTGTACAACCCTTCAGCTGCAGTAACTGTAACTGAGCCTGATGGTCACAGTATGCAACTCTGGTCACCATCCAACGAGGATGATGAGTCTTGGATAACTCACTACAAAAAGCCGTAAGTGACCCACATGCAATGCAATTGTCATTGAAAAAATATAGGTAGCATTATGTAGGAGGATACTGACATACGCTTATGGCTTACCTCGTAATGTGAAATTCTTTGTGACTCAAACTGCAGCACAGCCCCGCACACTTTACAGAAGGTGTCTGTGAAAAGATCTTTTCTCGTTGCCTCATCCAATGTACCACCTAAAATCAAAGGTTAAAGAGAGGAGCAGTCAGTAACTAGGATGAGAAAGATTTTCATTTCTTTACTTAAGAGACATATCAGCCGCTGTTGATGTTCACATATTTACATCCAATGCAAGATGATGAAACAAAGGTCCATTCACTGAACTGTGATATATTAAAGCAAGAAATCACATAGAGCCTGGTTATGTTTTCAAAGGACTATTGCAAAGCTACCTAAACCATCTCACCCACAAAACTGCGGCTCTATTGGACTTTCAAGGTATTAGTTATAGAAAACCATAAGTGTACCTGGACCTTATAAAAATCAAGAGACAGCAAAGATTCTGCCCTGAGGGCTTAGAGTCCAGTTCAGATGGACTGGAAACAGTTTGAAAGGAAAGGAATGGGAACAGGCCCTTAAATAGGACTGACGTAGTACACAGGTCCTGTGCTAGCCCTCTGCACAGGGATGAATTTCACCGTCAGTGTGGGAAGGCTTGGCAAAAGAAGTGCGTTTTAAAGGAGATTTGAAGGACGATGAGGAAGTGGCTAGACACATGAAAAGAGGAAGGCAGTGAGGCCTTGTCAAGAAAAGTTGCACTAGTTTACCTTAAATTGGTTTTTGAACTGATTTAGTTAAACTGGGGTAAACCCCTATGTGAATGCTTTTTTTCAGTTTAAGAGTGGTTTGTTCTGGTTTAGTTTAACCCTCGTTGATTTAGGGTGGCCTACACTTGAAAGTAAATTTGGATCAAGGTATGGTGTGAATTAAAAGCACAGTAGCTGTTCCATGTGTGGACACTCTTGTCCCAGAGTAGCTTATTCCCATTTAGCTTAATACAAGGTTGACTGTGCTTGAAATTCACACTTAATTCAAATTAATTTTCAAGTGTAGATAAATTCTTAAACTAAACCAAAAAAAGCCACTCTTAAAATGAAGTAAGAGTGTCCACATAGGGGTGTGCATTGGTTTAAATAAATGAGCTTAAATTCACACCTCAGTTTAAACCCAGGCAACTTTCTTGTGTCAACAAGCCCTTAAAGGGAAGCATGGAAGTGAATATAACAAGCGCAGTTAGGAGGGATGTTTGGGAAGAGGAGAGGAGGAAACGAGAGGAAACACAGCCAGGCACTGAATTGGCAGGGCCTTGAAGATCCCAGTGAGGAGACTGAAGCAAAGAACAAGAGCAAGTTTTAATGTCTCCACTAAGGAGTGCTCTCATACATGTAGGAGGAGGAAACGGCCCTTGGGGATTGGAGTCACCAGTGGAACTGCAGCTGCCATTCAGCAACAGGAAAGGAACATCCAGGAGAGCATGAGAAAGGAATGTGCCAGGTAATATGTCCAGGAGCACAGGGGATGAAAAGGACCATGTGGATAGCCAGATGGCCTGTGTGACCACAAATGGTAGGGGAGGTGTCAGGTCTATGAGATGCTCTCTGTTAGATGGTGGTCCACACTATGAAAAAGTTTGGGATCCCCTGGCTATGAACATTTTATTGCTCTGAATGATATTCCCTCTGCTAACGCTAGGGAAAACAGAGTCATTAGCTTATCTGTGCATACAAAATACCCCCGTTAGAAAAGAGTGTTTTTAGACATATTCAAACACTTCTATTAATCAAGCATGCATTTAAGTACAAGCAGTACAACGTAGGAATGAACTGACACAGTTGCAGTCATCTCACTGAAAAGGGACACCATTTGTGGCTCCTACAGAATGGAAGCCTGAGGCATGGGACTATAAAACCACTTTGCATGTTGCTTTTATATCAGTTTAACAATCCAAAGAAAAGCTTCTACCACAAAATCTTGATGCACTCGCACAACGTGCGGATTTGCAGACGCACAAATCTTTATTATTTTATCTACACACATGTACAGCCCTGACTTGCACACAACTACTGGTTGATCTATAACTGCAACTCATGCGCAGGGACCTTTAAAAATGTGGCCCTTACAGTCTCTTGATTTGGGTTCCCACAATGACTATGTGACAAATGTTGCTTTTCAGCAAGATGTCCACCACCAGTCATTGGCTCAAAAATATTATTTCCAAATACAAACTTTATTTTCAAACACTTTTCATGAGTTACATTGGCCAGATGCTTAATTCTAATCATGCTTTTCATTTCTCTAGTACTATCCATCCAGTGACTGTAAAACACTCGGAGATTCATGATGTATTTAGTCTCATCCCTGTCAAATGGAGAGAGTAAAATGACTTGCTCCGAGCCACACAAGAAGTCCAACTCAGAGCTGGGAAGAGAGCCAAAATTTCATGATTCTCAGCTCTGTGCTTTAGTACAAGCCTACCTAAATCTACGAAAGTTATGAACTTTCCACAAAACTGGATCAGTTTGCGTAAAGGAAGGCCCCTTATCCTGCATAATTAGCAAGAGCACTGAACAGTAAAGGGGATGTCTACACTGGGGAAATATATATGGAGAACTCTTTTTTAAAAAACTGAATTGGAATGTAAGGGAACACATGTGATAATATTGCCATGGGCAATGGCCGCCTTATTTGCCATTGGAAAATGTTTGCAATATTTCTTGTTTTGAACAGGGAAACAGACAATCTTTCCTGACCCACTCAAGAATATTAATTGTAAACATGGTCTCATGACCGTAGATCCACATTGCACAGATTTCTCAGCAGAGAAAAAAAGTATGCAAAAATGTGCTGTCAAATATTTCTATAGCACACCTATGAATCCTGACATGGAGTGCAAAAGCAAAAGAAATGTTGTAGTGTTAGCAGCAGGGAATATGGATCTGGTGGTTTCAGGGAACAGAGTTGAAACAATTAACAGGATGCCATAAAGTTATGTTTTACCATTGTACGCCTACAAAAAGCAAACACTGATTTGATATTTGGTTTTATAAGGAATAGCAGGTCTCCTGAGCTTCCAGTCCAACAAGAAGTACTATTAATAGGCAGTCACTTCTTAAAGATATGTGTTTAGATTCTCAAGACAGTGCAGGGGATTGGGACACAAATCTTCCACAAGTTTTAATGGAAAATTTAAATCCCCCAGGCTGCTTTGAAAATCTTAACCATAGTACTTAAACTGTGCATTGCCTGAACCGCACAGATGCTGGTTTACAGTGGGCATTTTTTATTTCTTGTCAATGCAATTCGAGGTGGGGTCTGTGTAAAAGTAGAAATTTGTTACCATAGCTTTTCTTATTCTAGATTCTTCTTTCTTCTATCATTTCAAAGCATACCGACTACATAAAAAGGTCTGACTCTATGTGTTATCATTAGTATAGTAAGAGCACCTAAAAAATACTGTAGTCAAAATTTTCAAAAATGAATGCGGAAGTTCCCACATCCGAGAATAAATGGCCTGTTTTTCCAAGAGCGCTGGGTGCTTAGCAGCTCCAATTGACTTCAGTGGGATAAAAAAGTCAAAAAATAAACGTAGGACTTCTGCTTGAGTTCTCAACTTCAATTCAGCGTTTACAAGCAATTCAACTATCTTGTAAAAGTCTGAATGAGTACATCAAACTCAATACATCGGTTAGATTTTTATGGTAGTGCCTACAGTCATGGTATCTAAGTGCTGCACAAAATTAATGGACATTATTACATGACACTAAAATGGCTTTTCTCTCGCCATCCTTCTGGGAGCATAAGATGACAGCCACCCTTATCATAAAGACTGCGGATCAGTAAGGTACGGTTTTTTTAACGTGCAAAAGACTGTATCATAGTCATGTTTCAAGAAATTGGAGTTTGAACTATTGGTATTTTTCCATTTATAATTTCTATGGCTCTGCTTATTCCTAGATTGCCCTTTTCAGCTAAACACAGAAGTAAGTGTATGATTTTTAAGCTTCTCAGTCCTAAAAAACAATCACACGGAAGCCTGGTTTACACCTAAAATTTAGGTTGACCTAGCTACGTCGTTCAAGGGTGTGAAAAATTCATACCCCTGTGTAATGTAGTTAAGTCGGCCTATGCCATGGTGTAGACACAGCTAGGTTGACAGAAAAATTCTTCCGTCAACTTAGCTACCTTCTCTCTCAATCTACAGCGATGGAAAGACTATAGTTGTGCTGCTGTAGTGTAGACATAACCTAAGGGTCACCTGAGAAAAGTAACTGCGTATCAGGTACACTGTATGCGTTCCCCTTCTTGTGCTGGCAAACAGCTAACACCTGCTGGCTGGCTACTCTCTGGTGGCAACCAACTTTAATCTTACATTATAAGCACTCTGGGGAACAGCAGCTGAACATTTCCCTCTGGTGATTGCCAAGAAGTGTTACACTATAAATGGCATTCTTAAACACATGTACTTTTTTTAAAATCAGAGAATGAATGGAGTGCAGCAAATCAAAGTCAGCATTGAGACAGGTCCATTTGCAGTCCTTATCTCACAGATAAGAACAACAAAAATTAAAGGTGGAAGAGGGCTATACATTGATCTAGTTCATTCCCCTTTCAGAGCGGGTTGGGGGTCAAATATAATTTACTGATGCTTCTTGCTAGTCACCCTACCACTCAGCAGTATGCACACAAGCAATGACGTGCTATTAAGATGTGTTGTTAATTTCATTTTGCTATTAAAATGCTGCAAAGGGAAACTGACTAATCCTACTCAGTTTTTCTTTATAGCAATGTCAAACTTCCAAAAGGACACAGACTAGGACTAGTCAGCTTCCCCTCTTGATTAAACTCGGATATTGTTTCAAGAAAAAAATGACTAGGACACAGGAATTGCCATACCAGATCAGACTACAGAGTGGTAGCCGTGTTAGTCTGTATCAGCAAAAACAACGAGGAGTCCTTGTGGCACCTTAGAGACTAACAAATGTATTTGGGCATAAGCTTTTGTGGGCTAGAACCCACTTCATCAGATGCATGAAGTGGAAAATACAGGAGCAGGTATAAATACATGAAAAGATGGGAGTTGCCTTACCAAGTGTGAGGTCAGTCTAGCGAGACAATTCAATTAACAGTAAAACTGGAATTAATTTGCAAACTAGACATCATCAAATTAGGCCTGAAT